CCAGAACAGAGGCCTCTCCAAAGGGGCCCCCTGGGGAGAGAAGACTCTGACAGCTTCAGACCAAAGTATCTCACCACATGTCAACAGAGAATAGCCAACCCAAAATGTAGCCAGTGAAAAACAATCTAGACAGAGTGACATGATACGAAAATCTATTGAAATGACAAAGGGTGAAAACAGAAGCCAGAAATTATTGGAGAGCTGAATTCTACAGTAACGAAAGTTAAAAAGTAAAAATCTAACAAATTCTGCCCATCTGATTTTTATTCATTTTTCCATGTCTACCGCAAAACTAGCTTCCTCAGTAATATTATTAATAATAATAAATACTTGATCATTTATTATACGCCAGACACTCTTAAGCACTTTAGATGTATCAACCCCTTTCCTTATCAAAACAAACCTGTGTGACAAATTCTATTATTATCTCCATTTTACAGATGACAAAACTAAAGCACAGAGAGGTCCAATAGATTGCTCAATGTCACAGACTAGTAGGAGGTAAAGTCTAGATTCCCACCCAGGCATTTCTGTCTCCAGGGCCTCTGCTCTTAACCACTATGCTTTACTGTCTCTCAAGGAAGAGGAATGTCCAATGGAAAGAGAGAGAAAGCAATGCCAGTGAAATAAAATGGGCTCTACCTTACTCTTGCTGGAATAAACTCAGTCAACCAATTCCTATGCTTTGATTCTGTGTTCTCCAAGGAAAGTAGACATCGTGACTGCCACCCCAGCAACCATCCCACCTCTCCCCCACTGTGGGGAGGATATGGGATTTGGAAGACCAAGCCATTGATGTGGTCTTTGAAAACCATATCTTTTATCCACAAAATAATAAGCTGGCATTTTTCCTTATAGATTAGCATCCTGTGAACTTGGGCAGTGTAAGTCTTTACAGACCATCCATGAGGTAGCTGATCAAATCAAATTTCAGATCTGCAAAGCTGAAGATCAGACCCTAGTCTACAATGAAAAAAGCCAAAGAAGAGCAGTGTCCCTTGAAGTCCAACCTGAAATAGACATCCAGCCTAATTTACTTCTCCAGGAGAGAATAAAAATAAGCATCATTTACTGAGCATTTACTATGTATGTGCCAGACAGTGATGAGAGGCTCTATATGCCATCCTCCTCACGTGTCCTCTGTACTCTCCCTGGAGAGAGGGACAGGGGATTACCAGCCATGGAGTGAAGGCTTGTGGTTCCCAAGTATCACAGATCAGCACTGCTTCTGGGGCAAAATTTATGCTGGCTTGTGGCTAAATATGAAAAATCTGAACAATACAATATGAATTTTTCCAGAAGCTATATGTGTGTGGTATAGAGAACTATCCCATATTCTGAGACTATATTCTTCCTACTTCTGGTGTTGAATATCTTTTCTTTTATGAAAGGATTATAACATTATAAGGCAATTTTATTATTACTGTTTTTAATATCCTTTCTTCCCAAGATAAAAGCTAACAACCCTATGTTGATCCTCCTCAATTAAAAAAATTGTTGTTAGATTATAAAGTCCCAAAGTGTAGGGTCACTGGCCCAGGAGACTGACATCCTGGGTTTTGCCTCAATCACAGTGAAAATTTAGAAAACAAAGAGACCATCTCAGTGGCTGAAAAGTATCCTGTGCTGCTGACCTCCTTGCTAAGCTCTCACCTGACCTCCAGTTACTCCCTTAGTCCCCAAGTGGCTGCCATGAGTAGGAATTCCCTATCCTTCCTGGCTGAGCTGATACGCTGGGCAGAGTTCAGGACACAGCTTAAATGTGGTTTCCTGAGTAATAGGGAGACTCCAGTTAGGCAGGAAGGAGTTCAAGCTCGAATATTATGTGTCGTAGTCATCTACCGGTTCTTAGGAATGAATACATCAACAGAAAGGACCTGGAGCAAAATACTAATCCTGAGAAAATCCCCAAAAACCCAGCGAGACTCTTATCACTGCACTTCACCCTTTGTGTCTTCTTTTGACAAGAAAGTGACACACCTAAGGCTCAGTTACTCTAAAATACATTTGAACCTAACAAATCTGGGAAGGCTAAGAGTGATCGAGAAAAATGAGCACTGAAAGAAACCAGACACAACATCTACATGACTTCCTAGCGAAGAAAGAGAGTGCTGAGAAGAGAACCCCAAAACAGGAGGCGGGAGATGTATGTTGACTCAGTTCTGCCAGTAAGTTGCCTTAAAATCTCAGGAGATACCATTCTCATATCTTCTGCTTCCCCACCTGCAAAATGAGATGGTCAGTCACTCTAAATCCTAAGATTCTCTGTTTCTATTCATTGTCAGGAGAAAAGTGCAAGGTACCTTCATGTGTCAAGAAGGATGGTGAGAAATGATATTAAAAGAAAACCTTGAGGGAAACTGCAAAGTTCCCAGGGGTCCCAAGGCCCTGGTCAGACACTGAGGAAAGACTTGCTGATGAACAGAGCCCCAGGAATATCTCCAGTGGGGTTCTCCCAGAGCGAGCTTCCAGCCAGAGCAGAGAAATGAAGAAATGGGCCTATATTGCTGACAGCAAGAAAGCGAAGGGAAGGAAGAGGGCAGTAAGAAAAGAGCAGGGAAAGAAACATCGACAAGACAAAGACCTGAAATAAGTAGGGTCTCACAAAGAGCATGTGAGAGAGAGCATGCGTGAGTACAGATCTGTATGAGGGTTACAGCATAGGAGAGAGGGTTGGGGAGTAAAGAAGAGAACACTGGGAAAAAGAGAAAGGGCAGAAGAGCAGAGAAAGAGCAAAGAAAGAGGAGGAAGAAAAGAGAATCCAGACCTCTGCTTATCATTTGAATAGAAAGAGAATTTCTTAACTCTCTCTCCACCCATTTACCAAAAAAAAGTCACCAGATGTGAGGTCCCATGGCATCCTGCCAAATTAAATAGAGAAAGGCCACACTCTTAACAAGAACAATATGGTAGCATTTTCTATAATACAGTGAACACAGAGGCAGACCATCCATATGCAGATATGGAAGAAAAAAAAACTCCACCAAGGGTCTGTAACCTTTTAAGAAAAGATTCTGGGCGAAGCTATCCAAAAATAGAACATTTTGATTACAAAATAAAAAGTAGGTCAATAAGATAATGGACGTGATTTAAATGAAAATCACAGTATCTGTAATGGGCTAAAAATGGTATCAATATTACTGCAGAGAAGGAATATAATTAAATGTATTTTTAAACAGCAGCTCCCCGCCCTAGCCCTACAAATCCCAGCCCGGCCACCAGTATTCCTCCACCTCATCGGAGAGGAATGTGCTGGCATGCCACAAGTTGGTCTGAAGAATGCAGAGTTTCCGCACTACTTTAGAAGATCCCAAATGACACTGGTTAGCTACATTCTTTCACTAGTAGATCACTGTTATTCATTTATAAAGCAAAGAAATGGAAAGGTTAGGGATCTGACCACTTCATTCTTTTACCATTTTTATTATATGGCCAGGAAACATGCAAATGGAGGTATAACAGCCACAGTTCTCTCCAGTCCACTGAAACAAGCAGAATTCTGGCTCATCATATGAGGTGGACATAGATCCTAAGAGGTTTAGCACAGGCCAGGAATTAAGATAAAGGTAAAGATAATTAAGTTAAATTAAAGATAGGAAGTGCAACTTTCTGGTTTTCTTTCTACAGCTTGTGGCGTGACCTTACGGAGAAACTCTAACTCTTGAGTGTAATTTATCTTCTAAACCTTCAAATGGAAAAGAGAGGAAAAGAGGACCAAGGTGAATTAGCCATAAGGAATAATGTTCTGGATGGTGAACACAGTTACCGCGACGGGCACAGGAAGGTTGCCATGGTGTTTCCTCGGATGTCTACACAAGAGCCAAGGCCTAGGACTCTGTTTATGAGGAAATACCAATGGCCCTTCCAAACTTGGGATGCCTTCAGTGGTCAAATAAAGATTAAGCAGAATACTCTATGATGAATATATTACCACTTTAGAATATATATGTATATATACATATACACAGAGATATATGTATACATATGTATAAAGTATTCTTTATTAAAGGAAAATGCATCAATATACATACTATGGAAATCTCAGAATAAGATATCCCAGGACTACATATACATATTAATCACTCAGAAGAGATTATTTTTAAAATCTCGTTGTGAGTAGTGCATATTTATTAGTAAGTTTTAAAAAAGAATGAATCCTTTAATATGCTTAAATTCCAACATACCAACCATTAATTGCAAGGCATTCATTCATCCTTAGAAAGCATAAGCTCACATCCCATCGAGAAAATTGGTTAAATGACGACTGAATGTGTCAAACCAAATAGAAGTAGAGAACTAGTCATTTTACGTCATGACTCATGTCACGCTGAACTCCTTGAGTGCGAATACGAGCGATTGTGAAATCTCATCAAGTTAGTGTCCACTTCACCCCCTCTTTACTCTGAACATCATAATAAAAGGCATTTCCATAAGCAGCAAGTTGATAGACACCATAACCATTTGTCCCTTCTGTAAGTGACTTAAGGAGCTCCAAACCACTGGTATTCTGAGTCAAGTGAAATAAGTCACTATAATAGTCTTGAGGAATTCTAAACCAAGAGAAAGGCCAAAAAGTTACGGATCATCTGAGCTCATCTGCCATTCTCGGGTTGTTCTTCTTTACAGCTCCTCCCCATCCCCAGGGCCTCGAAACATTGAAATGAAAACAGCAAAGCAAATGTGTGGCAAGGGTCACTTCAGACAGGGTAAAACTTCTGCGGATGTCGAGATAGCACGGTGCTTGGTTTTCTGATGAAATAGATTCAGTCAATACCATTTTTAACTCCGACCTTCCATGACCTCAGCTTGGAGATCCTGATAGGGATGAGAGCAAAGAACTAAAAGGTCAAGCAAGTAAAAACACCGAGAGAATGCCCAGTGCACACATATGACATGAGCACGCCTCTGTTCTATGAATCTGGTGGGGAAAAATGGATTATTTATAGGGAAAGGAAGCAAGATGACAAAATAAGCTCTTGACAAAGAGGATGAAAGCTTACGTTGGGAAAAGCTTGAGGGCAGAAAAGGCATGGGAGTCATTTGCACTGTCACAGGATAAACTTGGTCTCGCAGTGACTTTGGCATATTTTGGCCTCTCAGCAGGGAGGAACCAGCAGGGGGCTGGGGAAACTGGCGTTTTTGGAGAAAGAGAAACAGCTGCTTGAGCACAAGTGTCAGAAGGAAGTCCTCTTCCCCACTGCCAACCCACAAGACATAAGTAATCCAGTCGCAGGAGCCACTGTAATGAGACAAAGAGGACAAGATTGAGTCACTGACAACTAATGCCCCCAGATCTTCGACAATGGGGCCATTCCAACAAATGCGAGAAGGGAAAAAACACTAGCCAATAACATGAGGATCCTTGTCCATAAACAGGATCATGGAAGGAATTCTAATTTTACCTATTTAAGCAATTATTAATTACTCATACAGCTTCAGGAACAGGATGCACTGGTGAATCAATAAACGATGTAAAGGTTTTTCTAGAAACAATATGTAAACCCCTGTTCCAAGCCTTTTGTCTGATAAAGTTGTGAGTCTGACTGACTTAATTCACTCTCGTTCACTTCTCTTCTGTCGACCTTGTCAGGTGAGGATCAGTGAAGACGAGAGACTTCTCTCTGGAATAAGCATTCCCTAAGCAAACAGTCCCCAGGCCCCCTTCCATGGCCCTACTGGTGCATTGTAAGTCAGCAACTATGACAGAAAACCTTGGGGTTTTTTATAGTAATCATTCTAACGGGTAAAAGTCTAAATAGATGAGGAACGAATACTGAATATATCAACACTGGTCATTTTAATGGGAAAAAATACGAAATACTTATTTTTATGTAAATGGAAATCCTACATTTATAAAAGCAGGCAAAATGATTATGTGTGACAAATACTCATAGGCAAACGAGGACAAGTAGAAAAAAAGTTCCCTCTTCTAAAATAATCTTTTTTCAGCATACAATTCTCTAAATTCTGACATTTATGCTTGCTTGAAAAAACAATTTAAGTCAACACTTCCCACTCTGTTATTCAACCCTGAGGCATAAAAATTTGATTAAATAGCCCAAAAATGCTTTCATGCACAAGGAGCTGGCAACAACTCACTTACACCGTGACAAAGTCATGCTTTAGCTTGACTTCTAGCCAGTTGCCATGTTGGCACTCGACTAAATCTTAAATTCTACATCTCCCATTCTTCCTCGCCCCACCTTCTCCCTTCTTTGAGAACTATACCAAAGCCTCCCAGCGAGGACTTTCTCCCAGCGATCACCACCACACTACTCTGGTCCCTTTGGAAACCACCGTTTCTGTTTCAACAGCACCATAACCAGACTGGCATGTTCCTCCCCTGGGTCAAAGCCTCCACTCCAAAACAGGATCCTGTGACTTCCCATTTCCTAAAACCTCTGTCCCACTCTTGAATACTCTTGTCACTCAGCTTCTTTGTCTCTTCTGGCTCCTTCCTTCCCCTAAAAACCTTAATAACCACAACTCATCTAATCATGAGACAACTCTAGAATCACATGTTCAACTGCCTACTTGATAGCCCCACTAGGAGGTCTAATAGGCATCTCTGGCTTAATATGCCCAAAACTCAATTCTTGATTTTGGTTGTAACCTGGTACTTCTTCAAGTGTTTCCCGTCTCAGTAAACGATACCAATCAGTTGCATAGGGCAAATGCTTGGAATCATCCCTGAATCCTCTATCTTTCACACCACACATCTCATCCAACAACAAATCCTGTCGACTCACCTTGAAAATATATTTCCAGAATCCAACCACTTGTCTCCACATCCACTGTTGCTATCCTGGTCCAAGCCATCACCGTCCTCACCTGAAATACTGGATTAACCTGAGCGAGTGCCTGGCTTCCACTATTACTCTTTCACTAAAGTCTATTCTCTGTACCTCATTCAGAGCTGTTATTTACAAAGTCCAATGAAATTCTTGCATTACAAAGTCCAATGAAATTCTTTCATTCTCCTTCTAAAACTTTCCAAAGGATTCCCATCACACTTAGAACATAATCCAAAGTTTTACATGGACTGTACGGCTCCTGGGAGCCCAGTAGCCTATAAGGCTACCCCTCCAACTTCATTTCCTACCACGATTGGCTTGCTCACCCCACTCCAGTCACACTGACTTTCCTGCTATTTTTTAAACACACAACAACTCTGAATATTACCTGTGCACACGGATTAAATATTACCTCTATGCAATGTTAAATCTATTTATCCATCTACCAACCTGGTTCTCTGATGTAGCCTCAGGATACGCACTCTGTCTATAAGACACCTCCAGCTAGATGTCCCTATACCTACACAAATTAGACACTGCAAAAAGGAGCTATTCTCCCATCACCGGGCTGGAAGCCTTGACGTAGCTGCCACTCTCCACTGTACTTCAACCCACAGTCAGTCAGCTGCCAAATCCTGCCATGTTCCCCACCACAGAAGTCTCAATTTGCCCTTTCCTCTTCCTCCCTCTATTCAGTCTTGCGTCTGTCCTGGTCGTCTCATGTCTGAAACTCCACACCTCCTCTGGTTGTCCCTCAGCTTCCTCATATTGCTGTAACAAGTGTCCTTCCAGAGGGCTGACAAGGGCTTCTTTCTACACCCAAGCGCAGGTCCATGTGTGTGAACCTCCATTCCTGCTTCCTACTACTTAATCCTCCTGTTGCCTTCTACTGTCCCGATGCTGTCCGATATGATAGCCACTAGCCACATGTGGCTCTTTAAATCTCAATTCGTTAAAATTTGCTCAAACTAGAAATTCAGTTCCTCAGCTGCATTTAAAGTGCTTGATGCCAACATGTGGCTGGTGGGCACCAAGTGACCAGCACAGCTACCAGAACATTTCCATCATCATAGAAAGTCTTAGTAGACAGTGCTGGAGCCTATTCCCTGTGGAAAACACTCAACTCTCACAACGAAATCTTCTGCAAGAATAAGTGCCATACCCAACAAGCCCTTTCAACCTACTGTTTACCAAGACCTCATGTTTCAATTTTAGGGAGCTCCTGAGACATTCTTCCCTGAGATCAACCAAATTTTGAGGGAAAAATAAATTACATACCCTTTGCCCTGTCCCACATACACATGACTTTCCTAAAACTTCTTTTCTGTGCAGAGTATTTACATATTAATATTCAATTTATACATTTTCTCAATGCTTGCTCAGCTGTTGTGTCTCTACTGTCTGTTCAGTAAGGCTATTTTAGACTGAACGCTCTTGAGGGCAGGACCAATATTTACCGGTGCCAAGTACAGAAAGTTCTTTAAAAAGTATGTTTTAATAGGTGTGATCGCCTCACGGGAGAGCACTTGGGCTCTGGAATTGCTCTGTACCTGAGTTTCTGTCCTGCCACTTGCTAGCTGGGACCTTGGGAGAGTCATTTAATCCCTAATCATTCTAGTTTTAAGCGTCTGTGAAACAGAGAAAATGATAATTCTTAGGGTAGTTGTGATAGTTAAATGGGATCACACCTGTAAATCACATAGCAATAGTCGGTACATGATAACCACCCATTAATGTTAGCTGCTGATAATGATATCAATTATTTTAAAGAGCTGTAAACAAAATAAATTTAAATAATACTTGAGGAGCTTAAAAGCAAGATGAAAAGAAATCCTGAATGCAATTGCTCATCTTACAGAGTCAAATGGATGTCTTCAGATACAATGTGATGGATATTACTTAAATATCAAACCGTGGAAAATATCTATCAGAGTAACATAAATTTGAACGTTTCCATTCTGCTTCTTGTATGCAAGCTGCACAGTTTCCAGTTCTTCGGAAAATTTATCTCAGGGACGGTGGAACCTTGCTTGGCAAGTTGAATAACTTTCCATTAGTTAAATGCAAGAAGGATGATTTCACTTGAAAAGTGAAATGCGAAAAGTGGTTAAATGGGCAGGATATAACTAATCATAATAATCTTCTAAAAAATCTGAAAAACAAAACAATAGTAGAGAGAAGAGAGACTTATAACTCAAAGCCCGTGGGGACACTATTTTGCATTGAGTGCTTAAAGGCCCATCATCCCACTGAACAAATAAAACAGGGATACTCATTCCACACATTGGGGGCCTGACATGCCTCTCCCTGCTGTCAGCAGTGGAAACTCAGAAGTGGCTGTATGTACTCAAGAGACAAAGCTAGCACACTAGCTCTGCCGAACCATCATCCATTCTTCTTTGGCTAGGGCTTCCGGAGGTGCTAGGCCAGTGGTTCTCAAAGTGCGTGACTTGGACCAAGGGCAGCAGCATCTCCTGGGAACTTGCAAATTCCTGGGCCCTACAAAGGACCCACTGCGTCGGAAACTCCGGGGGTGGGGCCCACTTATGTGTTTGAACAAGCCCTCCAGGTGTTTCTCGCGCCAGAGCATGGGGGGTACACCTGGGCTGCACCAGGGCCCTCTATTTGGGCAGCTCCGGCAGAGAAGCCTCTAAGCCTCCTCTTGGACAGGTAGTGTTGAAAACGTCTTCAACTGGCTCTCCCCTGTACTGACGCACGATATAGATTCAGCCTCCCTCACTAAGAGCTGATTCCCTGATGTGAAAATTAATGGAACCATTAATAATGCTAAGCAGAGCCCAGGAAGGGGGGGACCCCGGAGGCTCTAAGGCACCAACAAGTCAGATCATGTGGAGAAAGCTAATCCTGGAGTCATGCATTTTGTCTACTATGTAGAATCAGTCAAAATCATATACCCCAAAACCATACACTTTAATTTACTTGGCCTTTATAGAAGGAGTTACTGATCTAAAATGAGACACAGAGTAACAATACAAAGGATGGAGAATTTCGGCTAATTTGGGAAAGCCCCTAACACTTCTTTATTTTTAAATTCATTTTGGAAAACAAAAGAATCACAGTATTATATAACAAAATTCCACCAACTATATGAAAAACAAAAGAAGGAAAGAAACAGGAAACCCTCTTCAGAGGTTTTTCAAAACACAGCACTTCTGAAGACTCAAGACTCGGGGGAAATGGAGAAGTATTCTGGACCTCAGAACTTGAATCATCAAATGAAAGCACTTTTAAGCAAGAATGCCTTAAATGTTTTGCTGGCATTTTTAAAGAGATCTAAAACAAAATGAAAGCTTATTTTAATACTTTGATGCTTTTATAACATTGAGTTATATTTCCTCAATTCAGATATATTCTCCAGCAGAGTGCCTTATTCATTTTTCAGTGGAAGGAAATAAAATTCAATATGCATAAATCTAAAGTCTTGTGCTTTTTTTTTTTTTTTTAAAGATTTTATTTTTTCCTTTTTCTCCCCAAAGCCCCCCGGTACATAGTTGTATATTCTTCGTTGTGGGTCCTTCTAGTTGTGGCATGTGGGACGCTGCCTCAGCGTGGTTTGATGAGCAGTGCCATGTCCGCGCCCAGGATTCGAACCAACGAAACACTGGGCCGCCTGCAGCGGAGCGCGAACTTAACCACTCGGCCACGGGGCCAGCCCGTCTTGTGCTTTTTTTTTAAAAACAGATTTTGCTTGAAGATTTTTTACAAGGTGTATATTGTTTTTGTAATTAAGATAATTTAAAGAAACTGGCCAAGTCTTTCAAAAATTCATATAAAAGATGTATTGTATTGAATAGTTGTATATGTATAGCCAATTTCTGAAAGGATAAAATTTAGTAGTTATATCTGGGCAGTGGGACTCGTGTGGGGCAGAGAATTAAGACTTTCACTTTTTCACTTTAAATCCTTGAGTCCTATTCAAATTTATTGTTGTATATATTTTGTCCAATTCTCATAACTACACTAGTTAGAAATAAAATAAGCTAACTTAAAATTAATACATCCATATTGTTGGACCACTAACCTTGGGTATTGGTTTCATGGAATGTCAATAACTTTAGGGAGCAGTTTCAGCTCAGCTCCCCACAAGCTGAGTATGCTTTCACAGTGGAGCCCCGCTTTTCCCCTGTCCGCTGCTGGAGAGGCCTCGCTTCTCTAAGCGAAAAGTGCAAACAACCCCTGTGACTAATTTCTTTTTCAACCTGGAGAAGAGAGTTTTCCACTACACTTTTCAGTCAAGCAGAAGTCAGTCAAATCCCTGTGACCTTCTTAACAAAACATTCTTTGACGGCACAACAGAATAAGCAATAAATGATGATTTAAACATACCTGGAATATTTCGCCACACGTATTTCTCAAGTGTCTTATAACACCACGAAACTTCAAACAGCATACCAACCCCTGCCCCTGCTTAAATGGAAATTAAAATATCTAAGCCTATTGTCAAGGCATTTCAGGGCTATTTTAAAATGTTTACTACAAATGATAACAACCACCTATCGAGAGCTCACGCTGTAATCTTTGGGCCCAGGAGACTTCCTAGCTCAAGGCTGGCACTTCCATAAAAGGGCCGACGGGCCAATGTCTGGTTTAGTGACAAAGTCAGAAGAACAGCTTTGGATTTTGAAACTAAACCATCAAGGTGGTGAGGCCCGCACTTGCTGTCACCAACCCCAGGGTCAAGAAGGTCCACGGTCAGTTCACGTGCAGTTAGAGCAATGAGGGCCTCCTCAGTGAGTCTCACGTTAGGGCGAACAATGCTGAAGGGTACTTTCCTGTTTCTCCCCTTCCTATTGTTCTTCTTTTTCAAAATCAGGTCTGTTGAAGAGGAGCAGAAGTGAGCAGAGCAGGGGATGGAGTTCTTTTCCTTTAACTGAAAAATAACAGATATATAACATAGTAGTTGTTTCAGGGGTACCACATAACGATTTGATCTTTGTATACATAACGAAATGGTCACCATAATAAGTCTAGTTGACATCTGTCACCACAAATACTTAAAAATTTGTTTTTCTTCTGAGAACTGTTAAGAACTACTCTCTTAGCATCTTTCCAATATGCAATACAGTATTGTTAACTAAGTCACTATGCTGTACATGACATCCCAACTAAGTCCGTAACAAAGACTCATTTATCTTATAACGAAGTGTGTACCTTTTGACCACTTTGACCCATTTCACCCACTCTTCCCACCCCCTCTCCATCTGGAAACTACCAATCTGTTCTCTGTATCTATGTGTTTGGGGTTTTTTTAGAGTCCACATATAAGTGAGACCATACAGTATTTGTCTTTCTCTGTCTGACTTATTTCACTTAGCATAATGCCCTCAAGGTCCGTCCATGTTGTCACAAACGGCAAGGTTTCCTTTTTTATGGCTGAATGACATTCCACTGTTTATATATACCACATCTTCTTTAAGGGATGGAGTTCTTGGACCAGGGTTCTAACTCCCCTGTTCTTGCCTATTGTCTTAATGATTTTTACCAAGTTTCTTGCTGATTTATGCTTTATTCTTATTGAACATCTGTCTTCCTCTCCAGATGTCAGAGGAGCTAAAGACGCAGCTGAATCAGGAAACTGTCTTGAGACCTTCTTGAAAAGGGAGTTGCTTTTCTTTACAGTCCAGGGTTTTCCAACCACATGTTGGCCTCTGCAGAGTTCTCCATCATTCAGAGGTTCTGGAAGGCCAGTGACACTGTGTGGCACATCTCCCAACGTTTATTAATGCTCACAGGCTTATGGTACCATGTTCAGAAGTGCAGGATTTGGAGGTTTGGTTAAAGCAGACTTGCTCCCCTTCGATTCAGAATGCTTTTCTTTCATCTGACTTTCCATCCCTCCCCCTCCTCCCCCACCTCCCAACCAGCAGCCAGAAACCAGGAAGCTGGACCAGCCACTGAGCAGGGTCTTTAATCCCTGTGACCTCAGTGACTAACACAGCACACAGCTGGTACTAAGTGAGCGGTCTGCTGAACGAGTGAATGAATAAACTCTGCGCCCACTGTCACTCTACTCAGGTAGTAGAGCGAAGATTTGCCTGAATTTGGGCCAGAGGGACTCAAGAAGGGTTCTTCTGGGGACAGCCGATGCCAGACCTACTCGAGGGTAGCATGTTTGCAACACCAGCCCATTTTGCGTCATCTCTGCCTACCTCCAATTCCCCGGGTGCACCTGGTGCCCCTTGTTGAATGGAGTCCTCTTGTACTGTACTTTTCCAGCCTAGACAAAGCCTCATCCATATTATCATGACCTTAGTCCTCTGCCCTCAGGGAGATGTCAGGAAAGAGACCCGGTAAATAAGTTCAAGTGACAGTGCTGGGAGAAGCTAGATACATGCATTTTAGAGAGAAACTTAGAACTAATATCCACCTTCCAAGAGCTTAAAATTTATTGACTTCTTCATAAAAGCTCAGATAGGAAATTAAAGGTCATTTGTCCTCCTCACTCAAAAAATGGCTCCACATAGAAACTACACTGCACTCGGAGTCAGAAGACTTGGGTTTGAGTCCTGGGTCTGCCTCCTATTGGCTGGTTACCTTAAGCAAAACCTGTACTCTCTCTGATCTGAAATGTTATGTATAAAATGGAGAGTACAGTGCCTCCGTCTCACAGTGCTATTATCTGGATTAAATGCAACAACATTTATAATACTGCTTTGTCAAATATAAATATAGTAGATGAATGAGTGTAGCAGAACAGTACAGAAAAGAAGGGCAAGAAGAAGACTATTCCTTGAAAATCCAGAATGTAAGATAGAAGGGAAAATTGAAATGAAATGAGTTTCAGAGGCGACGTGGGTTGTGATCTGCAGGCCCTAACACATAATCATATATCAAAAGTATACATGGTTGGAGCTGGCCCCAGGGCATAGTGGTTAAAATTCTCCCCACTCTGCTTTGGCAGCCCAGGTTCGTGGGTTCGGATCCTGGGCACGGATCTACACACAACTCATCAGCCATGTTGTGGAGGCATCCCACATACAAAACAGAAGATGACTGGCACAGATGTTAGCTCAGGGCTAACCTTCCTCAAGCAAAAAAGAAAAAAAAAAAAGAGGAACATTGGCAACAGATGTTAGCTCAGGGCAAATCTTCCTCACCAAAAAAAAAAAAAAGTACACGTGATCCATGCCTACAGGCCCAGTGTTTTCCCAGAGATGTTGGTGATAAGGAGATGGCAATGATGATGCCTTTATTGCTTGATGGCCATATACCTGGCACTTTTCTGAGCACTTTGTATGTTTTATCTTGTTCAATCTGACAATAACTCCATGAGATAAGTAATAATATTATCCCCATTTTACAGATAAGAAAACAAACTAAGACCCAGAGAGTTTAATTCATGATTAAGTGCAATTCCCTCCAAGCCCATACTTTTCTTTTCAACAGACTGTTGAATGGAAGGATAAAGGCATCAGGAAGTCAAAGCTGAGCTTTTATTCAGCAGGATTGAAAGGGTGAAGCAGAGAAAGGTAAAGCCAGAGAGCAGCAGTGGGATGAAGTTAGAGACACTGAGAAAAACCCTACAAGATTCCTAGCGGGAAAGACCAAAAGGAAACTCTTTCTAATGGAAGAAAAACGTAGTGTGTGTGTAAGAGAAAGGCCAGTAGGAAGCCAGGAGAACGTAATTGTTGGGAAATCAACAGAGATCATGCCACAGCATTTTCCCCACAGCCTGCCCCGTGCACCAGGCACGCCAATCAGCAATGCTCTCATTCTCAGAGGCACGACCTGCTGCGGCGACAACTGACGGCTGCAGTGAGGGCACACTGACGAAGCTGCCGCCATCCCCAAACCCTCGTGCCACCTCTGAGTATTCAGCACCGTTCCTGTGAGCAAGGACAGGAGGAGACAGCTAAAACTGGCTGTCACCACCAGACTGCTAACGAAAACCAGAAAGTCTACCAACAAAACTGCCTGCTTCTTCACAACTACAGGACCACCCAGCATAGTACAAATTCGGAAAAGGAGCTCCTTCCACTGGGAACAGGCTTCCTCAGTGGGGAGTCACAAACAGGTTTGTCCAAGAGACAGTCAACCAAAATGAGATCTATAAATCCTGACAATATCTTTGCCATTCTGCATTTTTCTTCTTCTAAATAAATAAATAATTGATTCTGTGTCAGGTGGGACCTCTTACATCCAAACATAGATATGAGACTTCAGAGACTAGCTACATATCTTTATAGTCATGAAACAAATTTACAAAACCAGAGGAAAACATGGAAATCCCATGGCACAAAACCTGTCAGCTATCATTACGGGAAAAAGAGAGAGAAGGAGACACAGAGAGGCAGAGAGAGAGAGAGAGAAAGGGAGAGAGAGAGAGAGACGGAAGGAGAAAGGGAAACAGGGAAGGAGAAAGGGAGAGAGAGAAGGAGACAACATTTCCCAGGAGAGGGGCCAGGCAGTGGTCCTACGCTTTGTTTTCTGGGGGAAGGTCAGAGGAAGCCACTCTCTCCTTGACGTGCTTGGGGTGACAGGTTTGCAGGTGATAATTTGAAGACGCACGGAAAACAAAATACCAAGGTTATTTTTTATCAAACACAAATATTTTGCTTTAATTAACCAACTCATGTAGACTTTTTAGTCAAACAGATCCTATCGAAAATAAGCAGAATTGCAAGGATTTGGCATTTTAAAAGGGAGTAGTTTGTCAATAGCAGAATGTTAGACCTCTTACATTCTCACCAATGAGCCAGATGTATTAGAACTAGTAACTGGTAGCATGCAAGTGTGTGTGCACGTGTGCATGTGGATGTGTCTGTGTGTTTTATTCCACACCAACTTGACATTCAAAACATCTACCCAAGGTAGGCAAGGAGCTGGCTCCACCAGCATCCAGAGCGGATATGGGCTGGCTTGTTTGAAATCCCAAAGCAAAGGAAAAACAATGTAAAAACCCAGAGTCAAACATGGGGAAGCGGACTCTGCCCAGAAGCACAGAGAGATTTCAAGCATGAGAGAGCCCTCCCATAGGGAAGTGAAGGCAACCACTGACACTGCCCCAGCAGGCCACCTTAGCTGCCACTGCTTCATGTGGCCCAACTGGTGGTGGCTGTGAGAAGCAGTCCCCATGGTGAGGCTGGCTACCCCTACCTAACTACCTACACCTACATGCCCTACTCCAACGTGATGCCTCCGCTGAGACAGAGGCAGGTAGAGGAGGGTAAGCTATCTTAGATACAGGTGCAGCACGCACATGAGAAGCAGAGATGCTGAGACAGCGCACCAAAGCTCCACCACCACGTTCCTTTCTGACATCATCAAGACCACAGGCCAGAGGAGATCACAGCAGCAGCAACAACAGTAACAGCAGCCCCTTCTTCCAAACCCCCAGGCATCAGGCACTGAGCTAAGAACGTCACATAAGACATTTTGCTTAATTCTCACGATCACCTGTGATTCAGGTTACTTCCCATGACAGAGAGGAAGCAACAAGGCTCAGCGAGGTTCGAGTGACCTGCTGGAGTCAGCGAGCCCCTCCCTCTACTGTGCCAACCTTGCTCAGGCGTCTAGAGGGACAGACGGGATTTTGCACCCTAAGGTTAATAAACCTAAACTTAGTCCAATTTAAAAAACATAATAAATGACAAAAGGTAAACCAACCCTGTTGAATTTAGGGAGGAACGTTTTGTCAACAGCATTTAAAATAGAACTGCCATATGTCCAGTCTCCTAAAACATCAGTAGACACTAGATCCAGATAATAAAACTAACTTTTGAATTTCTAGTCTGGCTAGAAATTAAAATAAATAGTTTCCAAGATAATAGAAATTACTTTTGAGACTCTATTCTAACTCAGAGTATAACCTATCCTGAAACAACACAGTAAGTGACTGGCTTAGTCTCCTGGGGAAACCTCTTGTTGCTC